AAAAATGAGGGGAAAAAGCTGATGAAATTTGTAAGGGGTCCCTTTTTTTATTAGCATTTTTTAAGAGTTTTTTTTGTATACTTCCATTGAGCACATTTAGTAATGTCCTAAAACTGCGGGCATATTTTTACAAATTACTCAACGATTACCTTTAATGGTGATACTTATTTCCATATATTGATCAATGCAATCTGTTAACTGTGAGCTTACAACAAAATCAGCCTACAACGACCAATGTTGTTACAGTAAAGGCACGTAAACAATGTGAATATCCCTGCACCATTAATGTTCCCCGTTAATGACTTTAGTGGGTTGAATGTAATTATTTTAATGGCTTTAATACACTGCACTTGGCTGTATGAATTCAGGCTGATGTCTTGATCTTGACTTTCCCCTCCCATGTTGATTTCCTCTGTTTTTGACAGGCTGATCTGGAGGCCCAAAATGAACTGGCCGTGGCCTTATCCAGGGGTCTGGAGCTGGACATCCAGAGGTCAAACAGAGACTCCATCCAGTGCTCCAGCGGCTACAGCACTCAGACCAACACACCCTGCTGCTCTGAAGACACCATACCATCACAAAGTAGTGAAGTTTATCAGAAATATCTTTTTGGACATTTTGTGTCATAATTCACTCTGAAGTAGTGTGATTTAACCTCCTCATATTTACCCATGACAGTTTCAGATTATGACTACTTTTCCATGGCCGGAGACCAGGAGCCTGAGCAGCAGCAACCACAGCAGCCGTCTGACTTCGACAAGTCCTCCACAATCCCCAGAAACAGTGACATCGGCCAGTCCTACAGACGCATGTTCCAGACCAAACGGCCCGCCTCCACAGCTGGCATGCCCATTACACAAACCCCATATCCTGGACAGGGGACATACCATGGGGGAGCCTATCCCTCCACACCAGTCCACACAGGAACCTATCCGTCTGCTCCTGCTGGCCAATACACTGCTACTTCTATAGGTACAAATAACTCAGAGGTTATCACAAATGTTCACTCGCATAGCTTTGGGTTAATACTTTTTAAACCTTAACTTTTTCACATGATTTTCTTATTGCAACCGCAAACTTAGGCATATATTTTGGGATTTAAGTGACAAACGCAAAGCAAAATAACAAATAAAGTTGGCAAAACCTTGCACTAGATTAATATCTTGTGAAATGTCAATAAAAATGAAAGTAAAACTCAGACACTTAGTAATAGAATCTACCTGAATGTAACTTATTTTGAGTCATGGAAGCAGGTCAGAAGTGATAGGAAGATGAATAGAGTTAAATAGAGGGTGCTCATTAAGCAGTGAGAGATTTAAAACCTCTGACAGGCAAAAGGTGGATCAAAAAAAATATTTACTCTTTGGGGCAAATTGTATTCCACACCTTTCAGATTTTGATTTATTTTTATTTGAAAAACATGTAGACCATCCTTTTTTATGTTTTATTGTAAAATATCAATAAAATCCATTTTGTTTTCCATAATATATCATAAAAAAGGTTGCTTCATGTTAAATCACAATTTTCTAGCAGCATTTATTATTTGCTTTGTATCATCATTACCTGCCAAGGATTCATCCCACCTCTGTAATCCTCCCTGCAGGTCATGGTCCAGTTATCGTCACCCCTGGAGTTGCCACAATCCGCCGCACCCCCTCCTCTAAACCCTGCGCCCGTCGCTCCGGCTCTGTGGGCGGAGGCCCCATTCCCATTCGTACTCCAGTCGTGCCAGTGAAAATCCCTACAGTGCCTGATATGTCAGGAACAGTTAACGGGAGCAGGAGTTCAGATGAGCTCGGCGGAGGAGAGGAAAGCTCATATTCCTTGACATTTGTAAGACCAGATGAAGCCGGCACACTTCCTTTGACGTCCTGGAGCGGTCAGGCCTCCACTAACCCTCCGACCGTTCCCCTGCCCAATCAGCTGGTCCAGCCATACCAGGGGAGTGGAAAGGAGGTGGACGAACAAGATGAAGGAAACATGCTTGTGGCTATCCGCAAGGGGGTCAAGCTCAAAAGAACCCTGACCAATGACCGTTCAGCTCCACGGATCGCCTGACGCCATCATCCGACTGCCAGTCTGGTGTCACAAGCATCTTGAGCTTTTATGATGGAAATTTCCATAAAAAAAATATTTGGGAATTTGGTCCAAAGCTTTAAAAGGAAGAAAAAGCTTTTTGTGTTAATAGGCGACACCTCTCGTACGAATTGTTCACTTGTGAAACATGTCACCTCAAAGACATCTAACCTCGACTTTGTGTAGATTTTTCTTTTTGGTTGATCCGTCAGATCCATCGGGTAAAGGCAGAATTGTTTGTATAACCAGGAGTAAACTAGAGAGCCCCCTTGTGGTCGTTTCTGTTTATGCTGAATAGATTTATTCTTCATTTGCTATCAAATAGAAGAAGCTCTAATCTAAAACACTTATTATTTCTGCTGGGTTGGGTCCATGTTGTGTTTCGTAACGGTGTGAAATATTAGGATGCGCTTCTGTGAGCATTTTTCTGAAAAGAGAGCACAAATGACTTAGCTGACCTTTTCCTGTGGTAAAAGAACCACTGTTCATGAAGAAAGATGGACACTAAGCTGTCTCCCGCTTCCAGCTCAGAGGGGTAAACACAGCTCACATCAGAGCCCCTCGTGGACCCGAATGACCGACCCAGGAAGCCATGGCAAAGTAGAGGAACTGACTTTGTGTCACCACATGTCCCCATTGCTGCAGGCTACTTTGTAAAGTGTAAAGAGGTTTTATGAATAGAAATTTGATCTTTTGTTTTAAATTTTTTTTTGTTTGTTTTAAAGACTTTATAATTTGTAAATAATTTAGCACATCTCAATTGAGGATGAGTATGATAGTTCAGAGTGGCAATTTTAGTTTCAAAACCTCTAAAAAGATTGTAATTATCCTTTGCCTCTCCTGCATAAATATAAATGTTTGGTTAAACTCTCCTGCAGGTTTTTGATTTCTCATATCTTTTGGTTCTTCAGTCTACATACGGAGATTTATGTAATATGTAAACGTTAGGTTTATTAATTGACCATCCACTATCATACTATAGTAGCCACGTGCAACAGTTTGAGAAATAAAAACAAGTGATATAAGTTTTTAATGAGACAAACTATTTTTGATGTAAAGATTCTCAAAAGTTCTAAACATTTTTTTCCCGTGTTTAAATTTTTTTCCCTTTTACTCTACTAACAAGGAAGTATTTCTGATTAACATATCCATCTTTTGCAGTACCATCCTTTATGTACAGATATAGTTTTAGTCAAAAGGAGAAAATCACATCAAAATGTATTCTTCATAAATTACAAATATAAGTAGCATTTTAGTTACTTTTTTTTTTATCAGGACTTTGATAAGATTTTGGGATATGAGATTAATCCTCGTATCGTAGCGTTAGACTATAAGCTAAGGAGGCTAGTTAGTGTAATTCATTTGCGTTTCAGTTCAAGCACTGTGTACTACAAGATGTATGAAAGTGTAAATATTGTTTAGCGGTGTTCAGTCGAGGAACTCACATTTTTAATTTATTTTCTTTTTTCAGTGTTTTAATTCCGTCTTGGTTCTCATCTTATTTTTATTTTTATACGTTCTAAAAAAATATCAGAGTAAGAAGGTTTCTTATCCGTTCCAGTGTGAGAAAGATATAAGACAGATGTGCAAACATTACATATTAACAAGAGGCAAACTGCTTAACAGAGTTCATTGGCAACAGTATTATACGTTTTGTGTACAAAATAACTGTACATTTTCCTCTGAGTTGGTTAAAATGTCTGAATTGTTTTAGTTTGTGCTTGTACAGTTTGTTTTAGCATGACTGAAGAGATGGTGGACTAACACAGAAACATTCATAAACTTGACAGCTGTTCCCTGAAGGCAATTTCATTTTATGACCTGGTCCATTTTTTTTTCTGTCTAAATATCTAAAATATGCTATTAACCTGTGATTCCCATATTCAAATTCTTAGCATAAATATCTATATATTTCCAAATGCCAGTATATCCTATGAGTAAGAAGTTTATAGTTTGTGAAATTTGAAACATTACAGTTTAATCTATCTGTGACATAGTTTAGTTTTTTGCTCATTTTCTCAGTGGAGAGTTGACCTCTCGCTGCTTGACCCTGTATAGTTCAAGCTTTGATGCTGTTTATTTTTCAGGATAAAGTGTCACCTTTAGAAATATAATAAAAATAATCAACTTACTTTGGCTCAGTTGTTTTGGATGTTAATGTTTTTTACTTTTACCACACAATTATATATATAAAGGATTATGCCAGGCAATCTTTGAACCGAGAACCATTTTATATTTTTTAATCTCAAGAAAAGACTCATTGTAATTTCAAACTGATGTTATGCCACACTGTGGCCACTAGAAGCCGCTCTTACAAAGGATTAATTACTAGCTCTAAACCAACGTCTACATGTTTTCATTTAAGATCTGTAAGTACGTTTACAATCTGCAAAATAGTTAATCACACAGGAGACTTTCTTTTATTTTATTTTAATAAATGAGCGCCTTCTTTCTGAAACATAATGCCACGTGATGTCTTTTTTTTCCTTTGGGTGTGGACTCAGGTCTGGTTAAACAATTGAAGTGCCCCACCTGGGTTATAGTATGGAAAGGAATGGATGGACACACCCATTTGTGACACTGATTTACCCTTGTAATGTCCAATATTTTCATCTTGATAAGGCGTGAATAGTTACATAAGTTTTTGGCTCTTATTTTCATTGACAATATGAACCATTCTAAAAGAAAAAGGAATAACTTGACGCCTTTTGATTTCAAACGTGACATTAAATTACCTACATAACTTGCCCCGTTTGCATAAATTTTACACTTTCTTCAGCACAGCAGGCCTTGAATTTCTGACCCAAGCAGTCCCCAAATGAGGCTGCGATCAGAGGTGCGTACGTCTGACGGTGCCGTCAGAGTTACGCACGGAGGAAAGCGGCGCTGCTATTGGTCAACATTTTCGAGGTCGCTGCCCGCCGCTGTGCCCTCCCATCCGCCTCACTCCATCCTGCCAGCCAGAGGTTAGTCCGAAGAAACCGAAAATGTGATTTCTCTTACTGTTACACAAGTCGGTTTAATGTCTGCGGTTTCTGTGTCGCTGTGCGGAAGCTCTTAGAGCGAGTGAAGCGTATGAACCGGAGCGCTCGCCGTGTTTTTCGGGCTTCTCCTGGCGGAGGCTGGAGGACGGGACAGCGGAGCATCGACTGAGGTGCGTCCCAGTAACTCGTGTTTGCAGTTTGGTTTGTGCAGCTTTTCGTTTAGGAAGAGGGTTGCAAACTAAAAATACCAGCTTGTAAATAGCGTGAGTTGTAAATAATGTCGGCTTCACATTTGGTTGTCGGATGGAGAAGCCGTGTTTTCCTACCACCGTCGCGCGGACCTTAGTTTGTAACATAAATAATTAAATCACGGGGAATGTCACGTGGTTGAGAAAAATAAAATTTTACTCTTAATAACCGTGGGCTGTTGTCCGTCAGGACTCCGGGTTATTTCTCCACCCTCATCCCTAAGATGCTGCGGAGAGTCCTGCGGCCTGCCTTCTCCTTGACAGCCGGGAGAGGACCGTCCAGAGCCGGACACAGGAGCGGCGGACCATCCGCTGTAGTATCAGGCTCCCCGGGGAGGCTTGCCTCGCAGCCTCCGCTCTCCGCGCTGGTGCAGCGATGCTTCTTGGGCACACATCCCCTGAAGGAGCCCGTGGAGCCCCTCAACTCACCCCGCGGAGCCAAGGACTTCATTTACAGCCTCCATCCGTCGGAGCGCAGCTGTCTGCTGCGGGAGCTGCATAAGTTCGAGTCCATAGCCATTGCTCAGGGTAGGTAGTGTTTCACTGTGAAGCAGAAGGTACAAGGTGTTACATGTCAACACCGTCAGGATGCTAAAGTTCTTCCTTTAGGTTCAGTCATTTGTGCTCTACCTGTGAACAGCTGCTTACAAATAATTCTCGTGCAATTTCTGAAAATTTAATCTATGTTTGTGTTTGTGCATAAAAAGAAATGTATGTAGTAATATTGATTAACTGCAGTTTTAAATCCCAGCAGGGAGAAATAAATTGGGTGTTTTATTAAAATGGTTATTATAATCTCTTAAAGGATAATTGAGGTCTGACTGGTCTTCAGCTGTGGGCAGATTCTAGTCAAATTTCTAAAAAATAAGCCTTTTTTCAGGACCACTTCTCATAAATGTCATATTATCTATAGATGAGGAGCTAAAAAAATGAATATAAGAATCTGGAGTGTGTGTGGCTGAATTTTGACGGACATATTTAACCCGTGATCATATACTATCAATTTTGGACTTTTTGCAGTCTGTTTGATGTATTCTATTCTGTTTACAGCAGGTATATATGCACTGACATCTCGTTTTTATAAATCTGTAATGCTTATTATGTGATAAGACAGGTTGGAGGGCAGTGCTTCTAGACCTTCTGATCTGTGTTGTGCAGGATAAATGATTAGTAGCTGGCACTGTCTTACAACATGTGGGCGTCCTTCCCTTTTGTTTTGATTTGTGCCTTCATGATGCAGCAATTTTTACAGTTTGTTTTGTTGAAAGTCTAGAGTACCTGTAAGTATTATTGTCAGGTTTAAAATGGACTGGTGAAGTGGGCTCAGAAATATCTGCTGAAAAAAAAAATTCTCTAAAGCCTTAGCCTCAAGGTAACTGATAGGAAATGTTAATAATTATTTCCTTTTAAATTCTATCGGGCATTTACTCTTTCTTGTTGTCACTGATATTTACAATTTTCTAGCAAAACCTCTTTTTTATTTAATCAGCGATTTAATGTGATGTTTATGTTTCCATTACTTGATAAACCTTTGCAAATTTTGGCATTTCATATATCTTCATTCAGGGCTCTGGTTCTAGTGGGGCTACCATAAGTCCTTTTGCACAAAAATGTTGAGGCTCAAATCCTGTTTCTTGTAGGTAGCGTTTAGTGAATTGTACAATGTACTCAGTGTGGAGGCATTACTGCATCTCTGTGTAATGTAAGAATACCATTATGGGAGCATGAGAAATGCATCATAACAGAGGATCTCCCACATGCAGAGAGAAAGTAGTCAGTCAATAAGGAGGGGAATGCAGCGGGAGAAACAGTTAAGTAATGATGAAGAGGCTTTATAGCTTCTGTGCTGATGACCCAAATTGTTCACACTCTTTCCCACTGGGGATAAAACTCGGCGTCTGTGCTTTACCATACTTATTATTTATTAACAGGCTTTAGTTTCATATTTGTGATTGTGTGAGATATAAGAGAAACATAATTCTTGGATCAACTCCAGAAGTTAAGATTTCAAATATTTGCATTTGTCATGGTCTCAGTGATGTCATTGAAGGACATAAGGAAAAATCAGATGGACTTTTCTTCTGATGTTAGAAATCCTGCTATGAAGTCTGCAGCGTTGATAAGAAGCTTTGTTTTATTCTCTCACACAGTTTTGCAAATTAGTTTCCTCATAGGTTTTACAGATCAATCTTAAATCTCTCATTAAATAATGTAATACAAATAACCATACAGACAGGAATTTGAATATGAATTGTTTTATGTTTTATATCAATACTTGTTTGCTTTTAAGCTATAATCTTGATCCCCAGAAAATTACAGCACTTGAAAGGTCAAGCTGTGCAGTTACAGATGTATTGGATTGCTCTTCTTCTGTAATTCTTCAGTTGTTGAAAACAGCCAGATTTAATCTGTGTCAATACCCACTGCCTTAAGTGATAACCGTGTGAGTCTCGTACACCTGAAGTGAAGGCAAACCAATTCACAGGAAAGACAGGTTGAATATTCTCTATCCACAAATTTACTGGTATAAATAGTCACATGAAATCTCGAAGTTGTAACCTCAATCTTGCTTAATAAGAAAAGCAGAATTAGTTAGTTTGCACCTTAATATTGATCTCTTCTATAATCACCAAAAATATAAATATATATTTTTTAATTAAGAAATTGACCCAACTGTAGCAGACCAGCTCAGGAGTAACAGAACAAATTTCTCAAAAACTACTCCTAGACGGAGGAAGAGAAGACATGGAGAGCTTGTGTGTTTTTGGGAGACTAATCGGTGAACTGGATTGTTAACAATTTGGAAACAACTGTGGAGAAAGTAGAAGACGATTAGCAACAAGGTGGTTGGGGACCCGAACGATCTGGCGGCCACTTAAGACGGCCTAAACAGGAAATCTCTTCTGTAGTCCCCAAGAGAACGGGAAATAAGGATTCAGCTGTGAAATCTGAGATAAGAATGTGTGTTAGCCTTATCTCTGGTCTTGGCTGCAACCCTTTCTGATAAGACAGATCCGAAGAACAGGAGTGACGGCAGTGCCCTGCATTTTTTAATGTTTTGTTTTTCAAAAACAGGTAATAAATACAGAGATACAAACAGGAGATTTAATGTATCTGTAATATTGGAAACAACTAAATACAAAATGAGCATCATTACTTTTCAATAACTTATTTCAGCAAATAACAAAAATGAAACAAAGATTTCATGTAGATCCATTGCACAAACAATGTTGGGCTTTTAGGGTGTAAACCCAACATTAATTTTATTTGAAAAATTTTATATTGTTTGGGCCACATTGATTAATACAAAATGTCAGCCAAAATTTCCTATTACAGACCAAATCAAAAAACTATTGAAAAGTTACCTTATTTAGTTAATCTTTTTCAATAGATTAATTCACAAAATGAAACGTGTTATATAAAATAATTATACACAGTAACGTTTTCAAGCCTTTATTTCTGTTTACTGTGAGCAACACCACTGTGAACTGGCCACAGAGTCTTGTGTATGCTTTGCTTCCATGCTGTGGATAAGAAACTATTATAAACCATTTGGCACTACACTTTTCCTTCCACCTAACCTTCTATTATTATGTTTGGACACAACTCTTTGTGAATAGTCACCGAGGTGGCAACATGCAGAGGACATTTCCTGTCCTTCTCTTTCACCTTTTAGCCCTGCCCGCCGGGAATTTGCTGACGTCCTCACCTTCATGATATAAAGACTCTGCGGGATTCTCTTACCTGCTACGCATACAGACCTCAGACAAGCTGAATCACTGATTGCTAGGCCGGTTGACTTGCTGTGGCTGCTGTATTGGCAGGAAGATAGATTCTTTTTCTTGACAAAACCTATCAGCATCCTGCAGGAGACTCAATGCCTAACCTTTATATTTTAGCCTAGATACCTGCACATAGCAGCAGCTTGTTGACATTACTCAGTACATGACAGTGACATTACTCAGTACATGACAGTGAATTAAATCAGTGTGCTATGGGAGAGTCAAAATGATGGTGGGCAAATTTGAGTGTGTTCTGTTATTACTGTTCAAATCAGTAGTTAGAAATTGATGTGATATTTGACAATCAATTATGCAGAAATTGGATCAGTCAATTTTCCTCCAGCATCTCTGACATGTGAGCTGGAGTTTTAAGACTGAAAAGTAGACTGTAATATGTGCAGTCATAACAACGAACCGCCACCATTTTAGGTCTTTAAATGCATCAACCAACAACATATGCATGGATGCACTTTTTAGTAAAAAAAAAATCGCAAAGTTTTGGTAACATATGCTTTATGGCATAAATGGGGACAATCTGATAATTTCTGCATTTTTATTTTGAGACAAAAGCACCATCTCAATCAAACCATCTGCAGGATTTTTTCTATTTTATGTTTTACATTTCTTAAAAATCAAAATTAGGACTAGCAGATTTAATCTCAGAGAAATCCAAGTTGTAAAACCTGCATGCGACTGTATTATTTAGTTATTTAATCAGTTAAATGAGCCTTCACTATTTTTCTTTATTTTAAATGTTGCATTTTGATATGGTTATGTTGGAAAGACTGAACATTTTACTTTGCACTGAAATAAACTGGGGTATTTCATACTTTCCACTCGATGTATATCTTCCCTGAACCCAGAGGCTTTTGAGGACTGCAGATTGGTTCATTGGGAAAAAGAAAAGTCAGAAAAAAGGCTATTCATGTTAAAGGTCACACATATAGAGGTGGTGGCATGTAGACTTTCAGAGGTTTGCATTTTAACTTATTTACCTTTTGCAAACAAAATTTAACCGAATAGTTGCAGAAGATGCTGATCCTCAGACTGTTTTGATTGCAGGCCATCAATAAACTTACTTGGTTTATTTTTGTTCTTTGGAGTGGATACATATTTCTCCACCATCAAATGAGAACAAAAGTTGATCTTTAAAGTATTTGTCAAAGAACAAATGGATGCAATCTTTGAGCAAAAAAACATCTAAATTTAGCATCAATGTAACATTTTATTTCTGCTTAAACATCCTTTTAAATGCCTAAAGATAAACATTAACCATGCTAAACTCACACAATACCTTTTAGTGTGTTTGAGGCCTCAGAAGTGCTTAGTGTGTGAATAAGCACCAACAATATCTAATCAAATAGTCCTGAGTCTTGGATATTCATATCAAATGAGGACGTGATGAATATTTTAGTTCAAAGAAATGAAGGAAGCCTCCAGTCCAATCATAGCTCAGCTCTTCCCTGTCACTGATAATTGCTAGTTTTGATTTTTATATTGTTTCTACAGCTTCAGATGGATAAAAAGTTGTTTTTGTTTCACATTTTGAGGCAAACAGGGAAGCAACGAGTTCTTACCTCCTTCCACAAGACAACCTTCTTTTCTAAGAGCGTTTTCATGTGCCGTACTGAATCAGCTCACACTTCATCGTCATAATAATTCACATAGAAAGTGCTGCAGTATGAGAGTGTATGCTGACATATAACTGACTGTGACTGATGGACAATCAGATTACCTCCCCATTAC